ACACAGTACGTTTTAAACCCTCCCGGCAACCTTCGGCAACTACCTCCGGCACCTACAATTTATCGACCCTTCTACCTGCCTTAGGGCTACTTTCCGCGCGGATCCGCATCTGCGTTCTCAACGAGGTGTGGCGGCATCCGCCACTGCGTTTTCCACGAAAACCCACAGCGGTAATGTATGCACGACAAGCACGAGATCTTGACAGTGATTCAATGTGTTGAATGAGGGATGTTGTGTTTGCAGGACAGGGGATGGGAACATCCTCGGTATATCGCCGTTGTTAGCAATGATGGCTATGTGCATGCTGTTGGCGGGCACACCAAAGCACATCCAGGACCGTGTCTCGGTGACGGACATGGTAGCATCAAAGTCGTGCTCAATGGGGGTAGTTTGAAGGGGTGCTGGCAGCAGATAAATTGTGCGCGTTCTTGTGGGGTCGAGGAGAGGGTCAATGGGTGATTGATAGCCAAGGTTGGCAGCGAGGAACGTGAGCCAGCGCCCCATGTAGCAGATCCGCCTCCAGTAATCGGGTTTTAAGTCTCCGACGTTGGCGGGAGCCATGTGGCCGATAGCTGTCGTGTCTTGTACAACAAGATCATCGTTCAGTATCAAGCTAAAGGCAGAGAGCAGGCATAGGAGAGCAGCATGGCCTCTAGCAAACGTGCTCATGATTGCCGTTGGTCGGGTGGAGCGTTTGATAAGGACGGGAGGCTTAACACTATCATTATCGAACAAGGCAAATATATGCTGCAATTGAGGCATGTATGCAGATATGTGAGACACGGTTTCTCCTATGCACCCTGTACTGTATTCCAAGGGGCTGTAGTTGTCAAAATACTAACCATCTGGCGGTTATAACTGGGCAAGCGTGGTTAAGATAACCACTCTGCAACAGAGTACTAACCACCTGGTCAGTAGGAGTGGTTAGTTAGATGGTGGCTAATAGAAATTATGCTAGGCAGTAATAATATGGGTATATTGCAGGCCTGGCAGGTACTCGGCACACCCCGAGGAATTGAAAAATAACAATAAAATAATATATGCAGGTTTTGATGGGAACCAGGCTGCCCGCGAGCCCGGCACCTGCCGTCCCTACCGCCACCTCGCCCTCTAGAGCTCGGTATGGGGGTTCTTTGGTATGGTGAACACGATGGTGAAGTCCGTTTGACCGGCCGATGCCTGGTTCCCGAGCGATTAACGTGTTACCCCCACCTGCTCCTCCCCCCCTCCCCATAGATGCTGCACCATAACCAGCGGATGGATCGAGCTGGCTTTCGGCGCCCTATTACTTCTGATGTCTAGTAACACGATGCAAGTAAGCGCTTAGCTTTCCCTGCAGCCGTTCTTGAGTGCTGACCTTACCTAGCTTACCCTGCTTAACACAGAGGGGGCCTATCACACTGTGACCTCTGGTGTACTACTCAGGAGCACCCTATGGGCCTATGGACTATCAGATTGGGCTCAGTACATGTGCCCCTAAGTTTGCTCCAAAACACATATAGTATCCTTCACTTCCTGCTGATACATAGCCCCTTCTAACTAGATGGCATAGCTGAACAAGGGACTCACAAGGGGCCCATATGGGCAATGCCATATATTATATTTTGGTGTATCTCTCTCATGTACTCATGAATAATTATTCATCACTGTAACTACCCACATGGTGCTAGATAACTTTCTCAAAAGTATTAGTACAGTGTTAAATGAATAAAGTGGAGTTTTCTGAATGAGCACACACTGGCCTGGTATGCAGGACTGGGAGTAGGAAGGGCTAGGCGCCCACTTGTATCGTATTCCTAGACATCAGAAGTAATAGGGCGCCGAAAGCCAGCTCGATCCATCCGCTGGTTATGGTGCAGCATCTATGGAGAGGGGGGGAGGAGCAGGTGGGGGTAACACGTTAATCGCTCGGGAACCAGGCATCGGCCGGTCAAACGGACTTCACAATCGTGTTCACCATACCAAAGAACCCCCATACCGAGCTCTAGAGGGCGAGGTGGCGGTAGGGAACCGAGCAGG